GGTTATATTGTGGGGGCTCACTCACTCAGTTGGGGTGTACTGGGCGCTCACTGGGTGCCAGGCCCTGGGGATAGAGTGGTCAGCTAGCCCGTGTCCCTGTCCTCGTGGAGGCCCCACCCACTGGGAAGGCAGTGACAGCAAACACAGCGACGCAGTACTGCCAGCTGATGCTCGTGCTGGGGAGAAGGGCTGGGGACATGGGGTGGACGGGTGCTATTTTAGATGGCAGGGCCGGCACCACCCTGTGGGACAGCTGGGATTTGAATGGAAGCTGCCTCAGAGCAAATCAGGGGACTTGGGGCATCCCAGGTGAGGAGCAGCCCAAGTGAGGATTCAGCAAGAATTCCTGGATGTCCCAGGCTCCTTGGTGAGTCAGTGGGGACGCGCTCTGCTTGCCATCAAAGCGAATTACAAACTCATCCAGCTCAGAGCCTGCGCCAGGGTCATCGGGCAGCAGTGGCCTCTTTCAAAGAAAAGAGCTTGCCAAAAAGACAGCAGTACGGCATCCTGATGAGGACCGGGGCTTTAGAGTTTTAGGCAGGAATGTGTTGAAATCCCAGCTCCAGCAGGATCAAGGCTCATTTCTTAATCGCTCTGTGCTTTGGTGTCTCTGTATGTAGCTGTATAATGCCTCTCCCATAGGGCTGCTGTAAGTCTTCAAAGAAATCACCTGTGTAAAGTGCTCAGCACAGGCGAATGGTGGCCTTTACTGCCAGTGTCATTCTCCTGGCTCCCAGCAGGGCCCTTTGCTTCTCACTCATTCAATCCACAATTATTGAGCACCTACTGGTTGTCGGGCACTAGATGCTAAGGTGCTCAGAGGAAGAACACCTGCGCTGTCCAAGGTGAGCCAGAGAGAACAGTAATCAGAGAGGCAGAGCCCTGGGCATGAGTCTGCCGCCCTCAGAACTTGCCCAAGTGGCTTTACCTCGTTGGGCCTCGGTTTTCCCAACTGCAAATGGAAGGCTCAGCTTGCCAGCCATTAGTGATTCTCTCGCTGAGCTCCTGGGCTGATGCTGGGGCACAACCGCAGAGCGACTAGCTGTAGGTCCAGGTGACAGTTGGCCTGCCTTCCCCAAGGCCCGCTGGGAGTGGGCACACGCAGAAGCTGGTGCACTCTGGAAATGGGCCAGGTCCTTGCTGGGGCCTGCCACTTCCAAGGACCCACCCATGTCATCCAAGGTCCCCAGTGAGGGACAGAGGGCACAGCCTGCACAGCAGGGCCTCGGGCCCGGGCATGCCTCCACGGAGTCGGGCGTGTGCAGTGTGCTCAGACCTCGGCAAAATCCAGCATTGTGGGGACTATAGGGGGACCCCTAGGGGAAGTTCCCCCAGGGCAGCCCAGATTGAAGGAGGAGGAGGAGGAGAAACAGGACCTCTAGGAGAAAGGGCTCATTGTGTTTCCTCCCAAGTGCCTTTCTAGCTTGGGGAGTAATGATGCAATTGATTTGGGGGCCACCATAGTTTTGCTTGCCTCCTCCTCCTTTCCAACCCCCCCCCGCCTGTAATGATAATTCATTTTATTCAAAAAGGATTTAATGAGTTCTGTTTCAGGACTCTTTGGGTGTGATGTAGTGAACAAAACAAACAGAAGTCTGTGTCCTCGTGGAGCTTGCATTCTAGCAAGTGAGTGGACAATAGTGGTTTAGTTTAGGATTTCTCCAAGTTATGTGCATATGGGGTCACCCAGGCATACTGTTAAAATGTGGATTCTCCATCCATAGATATGGGGTGGGTGCCTGAGATTCCAACAAGATGCCCAATGTAGCTGGGCCACAGTTGGAGAGGCAAGGCGTCTTACGTGTTATCCCTCCCAGGGGGATTGACATCTGAGAGAGAACTCCCGGAGATAGCAATGACTTATCCAAAGGAACGGCGATCTAACCGTGGAGCCCTGGAGTGGTAGGGATGGTGGGTGGGTGCTTGAGGACACCAGGGACTATGCACTGGCCTTGTGGGTGGTTGCTTGGCTTGCCTATGTCTAAGGCTGGCTCAGCTCTCCAGCCCTGGCTCCTTAGCTCCCCGCTGCTCCTGCTCAGCCGGGCTGTGGGTGAGAACATCTGGAAGGGATTCCCTGGAACTGGAGGAATCTCCAGGCAAATGAGGCTCTGTCACCCCAGCCGGGAACACTCACCCCCGCCATCTGCTCCAGACGTTGGCGCAGTGTGCGTGAAAGGAACCGGCGTTTCCAGCTCCTCTGACGGCACGTCTGTCCACGGCCCCCCGGTCCTGCCCTGGGCGCTGCCGGGGCTGCTGGGAGCCCGAGTTCCTGAGTGCGGGTCCTTCCCTTTCCCCACGGGGAGGGAGATGCCCAGAACTCCAAAGATCCCTCCAGAGTCTCCAGGGAGAGTGACAGAGGGAGAGGCTGCCCTGGTTGATCGGAAGCATCAGCCCAGAATGTTCTCATCCTCATCCAGCAAACTTTGTCCACCCCGCCCCGCCCCGCCCCTGCCCCTGCCCCGGGCGCTGTCCTGTGCAGCGTCTTCGTGGTAAATACGCTCTTCCGTGCACAGGGGCTTTGCAGCTGGACCTCACCGGATCCGAGTGGGAACTCTGAGAAACTCTGTGGAACTCTTGTCCTCACCTTAACACAGGTAAGGACCAGGCAGTATAGAGAGGCCAGGTTACCTGCAGGAAGTGGCAGAGCCAGGATTTGAACCCGAAGTCACTTGAACACAAAGCCCAGGCTTAGCCCCTCAGTCACACCAGGTCCTAAGAGCAGGCTTAGCCCCTCAGTCACACCAGGTCCTAAGAGCAGGCTTAGCCCCTCAGTCACACCAGGCACGTTCTCCTAAGAGCAGGCTCCGCCAAGCGGACGGTGGGGCTGGGTGGGAACTCATCTAGCTGGAAGTCTCGCCTCTCAAACTCCAGGTCATCTCTCCAAGGACAAGTCTTGGAGCTTCTCCTCCTGCCCTGTGGGAAGCTCCTTGCCCAGGGTGTTGGGAGCGTGCACCTGGCCGTGCTTGTCACATGCGGCTGCGTAGGACCAGGCAGCCCCTGTTGGTGAGGCTTGATGTCAAATGACTGTTATCGAGTCTGCGGGTTACTCAGCACCAAGGCTGGGTCTCCTGGTGTGACGTCCTCCCTAACAGCACATGAGAAGAGCAGGATGCCTAATCCCCAGCCAGGAGGCCCCAGTGTTCGCTCAGGAGCTCCCAGGGGACTCCTGGGACCAGCTCACAGTGGGGTGGGGGAGCCAGGGCTTCGGGGCGGCCCTCTGATGGGCTGAGACTGCGGTGGCTCCACCTTCCACCCTCTAACCCCAGGGATTTGGGGAGGAGGGTACTGCCTGATGCAAAAGCCCAAGTTCACCCCTCTTTTGCTGTGCTCCCGCCACCACCCCTGTCCCTCCCGGTGTGGGTGCCCCGATCGGGTGCCCCAGGCTAAGCTGGCACTCAGGTTAATAAGTCTTGATGTGTCCGGTGACCGGAACTTGTGCCAGCCATAGTGGGACAGACCCCCCAGGCCTCCAAAGGCCTGCCTGCCCCCTGCCCCTCGTGCCGGCCAGGCTGGGACCGCAGGACTCGGCAGACACCACAGTGGTTCTGTCTGCGCCGGCCCGGCACCGCCCTCTTTGTCCGCTGTGCCCTCGGCTTCACACCCGAGCCGGGCAGTGTGACAAGGGAGAGAGGGCTCCTCCACTGCGATTTGCCAAGAGATTAAGGGCCCCTGAGGAAAGGCCTTTCTTTCTGTATTTCGTTTCACAGCCTGGGGAGATTGGAGATAACTCGCATTCCCCTGAGGCTGCAGGTCCTGTGGGGCTCTGGCCTGTAGGCAGGACAGACATTGTCATTTTAAGGGGACGGACCATCTTTTGCCTCTAGGGGAGGAAAGAAACTCACTCCCAAGGGTGAGACAGCAGCCCGACTAGGACAAAGGGCAGGGGACAGACTCTCGGGACTCCAGAAGACAAATCCAGGTGGTGGATTTGCTGTGTGTCTCCAGGCCAGTGAAGGAGGGAATGTGGTCAGAAATTCAGAGAGTTGGTGAGAGAAGTGAGAGAGCTGGGGAGGCAGCTGCGGGCTGGAAGGAAGAAAGATGGAACTAGGAAGCAGGGCTGGGGGGACTGCAAAGGCTGGAGTGGGCTGTCCCCAGAGGCTGGGGGCCCTTTGCTATTGGCCTTCTGCTCTTGCCTCCTGACATAGGCGCCTGTCCCTGTTCTGGGGGCCTGTGCTGAGCTGACTGGTGGGTTGACCAGTCCTGACGTGTAGAACTTGTGCCAGCCACAGGGACATGGACCCTAAGCCTCCAAAGGCCCCCGGCCCTCCTGTGCTGCCCACCCACGACGGGGGCTGTTCTGCTTCCGTCTGCAGGCAGCCTGCCCCGTCCTTTCCCCAGACTGAGGCGTTTTCAGGTAGATTCTACATTAAGTCACCTGTTACCTTCTTGGTTCCTTTGGAATCCAGCCTTCACCTTGGTCCCAGTTCCAGTCTTGGGTTTGGATCCTAGCTCTGCAGCCTTCTGTGTCTACACCTAACTTCTGCCTCTTTTGTAAAATGAGCGTAATAACAGTTCCTCCGTCCCAGGGCCCTTGGAGGATTGAATGAGATAACCGGAGCTCCCAGCAAAATGCCCGAGACACTAGAGTCCGGTGACTGTTCGATGGCGTCTTCCCCAGCCCTCTCGGTCGGCTTCCTCGGGTCGTGTGGCTCAGCGTGCGTGCTTACAGAGGCCTGGGCCAGGCAGTTCCCAGCTCAGGTGCACAGGGTGACCGCCCGCCACCGCCATCAGCAATAAAGGTGAGGGGAGTAACTAGAGCTGTCGTTTGCTGGGTGCTTTCAGAGGGCCTGGCCCTTGGCGTTCCAGAACCGTAATCCTCGCAGCAACCCCGCAGGGAGGGTTTATCATCCCTGTTTCAGAGATGAGGACACAGAAGTTCAAGCTTCTTAAATACCCTGCCTGGGTCCCACAGCGAGTGCATGGTGAAGCCTGAATTCAAATCCAGCCCCGATTCCCAAGCCAGCCGGGCCCTTTCTACCACCAAACTCTGTAGGATGTAATGTCACCCAGGGGATGGGTGGCCGAAGGCCAGTGGGACCAAGTGAGGAGCACCATTCTGGAAGCAAAGCCCCCAGAATGTCAAAGCCAGGGCAGCAAGGCATGCTCGGGTGAACATGGAGGCCCAGAGCAGGACAGGGCCAACGGCTCCAGGGACAGAAGACTCGCAGGTGTGGAAGACAGGTGTGTGGAGACCAAGCACAGCAGCACCAGGGGACATGGCCCTTGCCCCAGAGCAGGGAAATGCCACTGGAGAAGCCTGGGCCTTGGTGGCCAGGGGTGCGGAGGGAGGGGAGCTTGTGCACTTTCTTCTAGATAACATGCTGTCCCCAATCTAACAGCAGCCAAAAGGAAAAACGATTTACTCTGCAAAAACCCACCGGACCCAACCTCTGTTGTATCTCCAAACTGAGCTGGTTCTCCCAGAATCCTGCGAAAGGGCCCGCAACGTGCAGATTTGCCTAAGGTCAGAGACACTATTCCAAGTATGAATTTTATTGGTAACCAGGTGACACTTGAAGCGGCTCAGAAATCAGGGCGAGAAAAGTCCCCAGTTGTTATTATTTAGTACGGCTAGGGAGGAAGAAAGGACGCTTTGTGGAGCGGTGAAATGGATCCAGACGGAGGCAAGCCCCCGCCCTCCCGCAGAAATCATCTTTCCATCAGCACTTTCTGCCCGGCTCGGCCCAGGCTCGTTTTCCCTGACATCCCACCAGGGGCAGCATGCCTTGGGCACGCCTCCATCTCACTGCACAGCTGCCTGGGTTTCCACACGAGGGCTCAGTGTAGATTGCTCCAGCCGTCATCGCTTAGAAATGTTTTGAGGAGGAGTTTATTTAAAGGACCTGCTATTCCCTTTCCCCTCCCTCCCTCCCTCGTTTCCTTCCTTCCTTCCCTCTTCTTGTTTTTTTTTTTTTTTGAGACCGTCTTGCTTTGTTGCCCAGGCTGAGTGAGTGCCGTGGCGTCAGCCTAGCTCACAGCAACCTCAAACTCCTGGGCTCAAGCATCCTTCCTGCTCAGCCCCCGAGTAGCTGGGACTACAGGCATGCACCACCATGCCCAGCTAATTTTTTCTATATATATTAGTTGGCCAATTAATTTCTTTTTATTTATGGTAGAGACGGGGTCTCACTCTTGCTCAGGCTGGTTTCGAACTCCTTAAGCAATCTACCCGCCTCGGCCTCCCAGAATGCTAGGATTACAGGCGTGAGCCACCGCGCCCGGCCTAAAACTTTCTTTCTCTTTTTTCTCTTTCCCTTTCTTTTCTCCTGGGAGCGATGTAATTCTCTAATACTGTTCGCATTGTAAGGCCAGATAAGGCCCGCCAGGCCCACTGCCCCCCAGGGGTGTTCTTCTCTCCGTCCTCCTCCTCCATCTGTGCCAGGTTCTAGTAGAGGGTCGCTAAGACCTCTTTCCATCCTGGGGGTCCTGGGAGCCGCAGGTAGCCGGCACAGAGGCCGAGGGGACCAGGTGAGGAGCAATGATTTGGGGGAAACAAAACACCCAAAGTGCCAAAGCCAGGGCAGCCAGGCATAAAAGAGATGGTCTCAACTTCGAGGGGCTTATAGTCCAGCTAAGTAGGTAAGACAAGCACTTCAACGTGTCACTTGGTCTGTGGCCTCAGTGCAGAAGGCAGTGATGGTGACAGAAAGGTTGTCAGGTTGACAAACGTGGGAGGGCTGGTAAAACACACAGAAGCTGCCCTCAGGTGGGTGGCCAGTGGCAGCTGGTTCTGAGGATGGCTGCCTGCATTCCTTCCTTTTCTGTGCACGCTTGTCACCCCCATGGAGAGGTGGAATCTGTGCCTCCTCTCTGCTGGAATCTGGGCTTTCCTTAGAGATTCCCTTGACCTGTGAAATGCTGTGGAAGTGACATTCAGGATCTCTAAGGCAAAATCCCAAGAACCTTGCAGCTTCTGCTGGGACCTCTGGGGACTCTTGTTGTTCTTAGGGTTCTGAGGCGCCATGGAGTGGGGAAGCCTAGGGTGGCCACGGGGAGGTGGCTGGAGGGTAGTGACATGCCCCGCCACCTGCCCAGCTCCCAGCCATTCGAGCCATCTGAGCAGGGAGGAGGCATTCCCTCTGTCCCTGTCCAGGTTCCTGACCCACAGAATTGGGAGACATGACAAAACAAATTTTTTTAAGCCTGGAAGTATTGGGGGGGGGTGTCATGCAACCACAGATAATGAGGGGCGGGGGAGGTGGGCATGTGCAAGTGCCAGGGACTGTGTTGACCCAACCCTACCCATGCCCCAGACTCCTCCGTCACGGCCCTCCTAAGCCCCAGCGTTCCCCCTCCCCCTCCCCCCCTCGGCCAATGCCGAGTGCTACCCAATTCCCTGCTAGAACCCCAGTGTGGGGCCAGCTTGGTGCTCAGGGAAGACCTAGGGGACTAACCCGTCCCTGGGCTAGGTCCGGGGAGAATGGCCGGGGGGAGGGGGAGGGGCTTGTTGGGGAAGAGTGTGAGCCTGTGTGTGCACGTGGCTGTGTGGCTTTCTCTATGAAGATGATTCCGAGGCCCAGATCTCCTTCCTGCTTCCCTTCCAGAACTCAGGCCCAGCGTTCCCAGCCACCTGCTGGACTCTCCTCAGAACTGGCTCAGGTCCCTCGAATCCTGCACTTCTCAGACCAGAACCTTCTCTAAACCCACCCCCGAGGCAGTTCCCTGTCCTTCCCTATGTCTGCCAGGGGTGCAGAAGTCACCAGAGCCTGTCCAGGTGGAGGCAGCCAACCCTCCAGGGACAGAACCTGCCCAGCTGCAGCTGGAGCCACCAAGAGCTTGCCCATCCGGCTGGAGGTCGGTTCTGGGACCCAAAGGTGGGGGTGGGGACAGGGACTGAGGTGGGAAGACGGATATATTAAGTTAATATTAAGAGCAGAGAGCAAAGGTGTATCTTAAAATTCATTTTATCTCTTTCCTTTTTACTTTCTTAATGTGGCTACAAGAAAATTTAACATCATGTATGTGGCTGGAATTCTATTTCTATCAGACAGCGCTTCTGGGGACCACAGATCCCGCAGTTGGTCAGTTCGGCCCCTCCTGTCCCCTTCCCCACTCCTCAGGCTCAATCGCTCCCTCCGGGCTTAGGCACGGCTGATACCGGGTGTGCTGAACTTGGCATGACGCGCGCGTGTTTGCAAGGACGTGTGTGCATTCGTGTGCCTTGTGCTCACCTGTCTGTAGCCACGCACGCGCGTGTGCACATCTGCGTCCATCCCTCGTGTTTTCCACGTGTGAGCGCACGCAGGCGGGCCCCCGCCTGAAGTCATGCCCAGGCGGTGTCCGGATGGGAACCCGGTGCCCGCGGGGAGTTGACGTGGGGACAGGGCCTCGGGGTGAAGCCTCAGAGCAGGTTGTTCACCTCCGGGGGAGGCTGGAACAGGCAGTGTTTCCTTGGCAAGTTGATGAGCGTGTCATGTAGGCCAGAACCAACAGCCGCCCTGGAATCAAGATCGATGACAGCTCCTTCTCACCCCTCGCCACGAGGCCTGTCGCCATCGCTGGAGAGGAAATTAAATTGGTCTGGCACAGTTTGCCATTCCCAAAGCCAGTTGGTCGCCGCGGTGTAGTGTGCGATGCATTTCTGGGCGGTGTCTGATTGATGGTTTGGTTTCTCCATAAATTTCCAAGGTGTGGTCTGCGGAGCTAACCACGCCACAGGAAATCAGGAGGGTGTACTTGTCCCTTTTCTAAAGATAGGAGGCAACCCAGCCATCCCCCACGAGTCCACCCACGTAGCCGTCTCAGATAAATTTATATGTTGAGGCATGCACTTATTCAACTAATATCTACAGAGCGCCTACTGTGTGCTGGGCAGTGCACAGGATAGAAAGAACTGTGGGATGAGATTCGGATTCCAGCCCCACCTGGGCAGGTGTCTGGCCTCTCTGGGCCTCAGCGCCTCTCTGTAATGAGGGCTGGACCACAGAGCTCAAGGCTCCTCCCAGCTCTGGCGCTCCGGGATCTGGGGCCAATTTTCCAGGCAGAGATTTTTCATTCCCAGGCAGATCCTCTCCCGGCCCCCAGGGGCTGCTTGAGCAATATGGTGGGATGGAGGACACAGAAGAGGACTCCAGGGTCATGGGCATCACGAACTCCCACAGGCTGAGGGTCTGACAGGAGTGCGGTAGCCCTGAAATATAGCATATTCAGCTCAGGCGGGTGTTTGTGGGTTGAGTTGTGCTTCAGCGATTTGGGACACCGGGCCAGTCATCGGAATCCAAAATGGGATTTTGGAGCCCGTGTTTTGGAGTCCCTCAGCCCCTGGGGCATGTGGGGTCCCCACAGACGGCATCTGTGTTTGGGCCATTCCAGGGGTCCCCCACCTCATTACACAAAGTGAGCCCTCACCATTCTCCCTGTGCCCGGGGCCTGGCCTCCCAGTCCCCCTCTGTGGCTGGGAAGCCCACCCCTGGGGCTCAGCCTGCCCCACCAGCTGGCTGTCCCAGGCCCCCGGGACCAATTCCGGGTCCTCCTAGGAACCTTTTGCCTCAGCCTGGCTGCCTGGGGCAGAGTAACCCGGCTATGTTGATCTGGTTACTGAGGACTCTAAATTCCCACGATGAAAGGCAGACACCGCAAAAGCTTTCTTGGATCCCTGTCCCTGTAACATCAGTCTTCGTAATGAAGGTGCCTGATTGCCGCTGTCTGGGTTGTGGGTGGCCAGAAGCAGAGGGATGGGATGGAGAGGGGAGAGGCTTTATCATCTCTTGAGACTCCCTGCTTTGATCCTGCCAGCAGGAAGCAATTTCCTCTGGCTCCTCCTCCAGCATTCAAACCCTTGCCAGCAAACTCAGGAAACTCACAGTCACAGACAACAACGATGACGGCATGTTGGAACATCTCCAAATGCAGGGGAAAGGATGGGAGGAAAAGGAGATGTTGGGAGTGTCTATACACATCTCCAGAGACCCTCTCTCCCCACCTATCCTCCTCTCCTCTGTAACTCAGACCACCAGTGGACTTTGCTTCGGTCCTGGTTTCTGCTGCATCCTCTGAGTCTAGCTCAGTGCCTGGCATACAGTAGTTCCATACATACTGCTGAAGAAATGGGTTTCTAGGTCTCGGAGCACTCAAAGATTTCTTGGTAATAAACCAATTCAGGAGTGACTGACGATATAATTTATTCATCCAATAAGCATTTATTAGGCAGCTCCCAGGTTCCTGGCACCATGCCAGTTGCCAAGGACTGAGATAACTAGAAAACCAAACCATTCAACAGTATGTGTTGAGCGCCTAAAATGTTCCTCTCCACGGGAGACAGACCATAAACAAGTAAACAGATGCATAAGCAACATGGCTCTAGGTCGAGCAGGTGCTGCAAAGGAGATGCGTCGCGTGCCGGGATGGAGCGCAGCTGGGTGGCCTCCCTGGGACAGGTGCAACCCGGGCAGGGCTCGCTAGTAGGACCTGAAGAGTAAGGGGAGAGCGCCAGGCGAGAGAACACAGCGAGTGCGCCCAGGGCTGGAACCAGCTCTGCGGGTGTGAGGAACAGAGAGGAGGCGAGTGCGGGACTGAGGGGCAGCAGTACGAGATGAGGTTGGACAAGTCGCTGTCCTCCAGCGGGGACGGCAGACAAGTGAACAGTCAGAGCAGAAACGTAGCTGCTGCCACGGAGGCAGAATGTGCACGGAGGCCCTGAACTCAGCCTGGAGGAGGCAACATTGTCACCAAGACCCAAGATCGCAGTGACTATCTCTCATGGGCCCGGTGTGCCTTCCAGCCTCCCGTCCCATCCCCGCAGACCTTGCTCCAGGGGCTCTGTCCCTCTCCTGGCCAGGAGCAGGGGCTCTGGAGCGGCGCCAGCTGCAGCCTGCTCCAAGGGCACTCCCTGCCCTGAAGCTTCTCGAAGCCTCTGCTGCTGCCGCTGCAGACAGCTGCCGGGTGGCTATGCCTGGGGTGACCCGGGGCAAGGGGGTTTGGCAGATGTTGCCACGGCAGGATAATAGGATCCGTCCACACGGCGGGTGGCGTCTCCCTGGAGCTTTTACTATCCCGGAGCCCAGCATCTAGCAAACAGCCCCATCGCTGCCTTTCATCTGGCTGGCTTTCAACTTAAGACAGGGGCGTCCGCAAGGGCCTTGCCTGGCGACAGCACGGGAACTATTTGCAACTACGGTCCTCAGAGAGGGCTGTGCCGGGTATTTGAATAATAATAATAATTAATGCTGTAATAATAACTGCAACATCAGCTCCCACTTAGTAGGGTCCGGGCATGCCAGGCACTGCACTGAGAGGTTTCTGTGCAGCATTTCATGTCGTCCCCACTCCCACTTCATAAGGCGGGTGTTGGTATGAGGCTCAGAGAGGCTGAGTAACTTGGCTGAGGTTTCACAGCAAACGAGTGCCGGAGCGACGTTGCAGCCAGGGCTGTTCGGCTCTCTGTGCTGGAGGCTCCCAAGCTGGCAGCATCAGAGTCACAGGGGGACAGTTAGAAAGTTAGACTTCTGGTCCCTCTTCCTCAGATATTGTGATTCTATAGGTTTGGAGTGGGGCCCGGGGACCTTTTTCTTTTTTATTTTTTCGTTTTTTGTTGGTTTGTTTCTATTTTAACAGGTTTCCTCAGGAAATGCAGGTGGAGGGCCAGAGGTATTTGGGCACAGGGCCAGGTGCGTCGGGTACAGCTCAGCTGTGTTACAGGCGTCCACTTATCCTTTGAGAGTAGAGGCAGAGAAAGCAGACGGGTGGGGGTGGGGAGTCTCCCTGAAGGGCTCATCTGACTCCCTGTCCCCACCCTCCCCTGCCTGTCCTCTCCCCAAGCCCAGCCAAGAGCCGGGAGCTAACCCTGACCCCTGCAGGGCAGAGGGGGCTCTCTGGGGCCCAGGAGAGGGCTGGGCCGCGGGTCTGAAGCTGAAAGTCGGCCGGGAAAAGGCATGAGAGGTGGGTCAGGGGATCTGAGGGGTCTCTGATTAAGTGTCCCTCATTCAAACACTGAAGAGCCACAGGGATCATAGACTAGCCTGACTCTTCTATCATGGAACAAGTATTTATGAGGCAGCAGTGTGAACTGGTGCCACCCCGGAAGGGCGTTGTAGGGCAGCAAGGAGTACAGAATACTGCCCTTGCCCCAAGCCGCCCTCCCAGCGCCTGGCATTCCAGCTGGCGCATAGTAATCCCTCAACGCGGTTTTGTCAGATGAGTGAGGATGTTCAATTCTAGTGGAAAGGCAAGTCCAACCTCAAGGAATAGCAGAAATTACCACTGGGACTACAGAAAATTAAGTGTTAACACATGCTACACTGTGGGGAGCCTTGGGGACATTGTGCTAAATGACAAATACTGTGTGATTCCACTTATATGAGGTACCTAGAAGAGTCAAATTCCTAGAGACAGAAAGTGGACCGGCCATTGCCAGGGGCAGGAGGCAGAGGGGACTGGGGGAGGGTGCTGTTGAATGGGTACAGAGTTTCAGTTTGGCAAGATGAAATGAGTTCTGGAGATGGTTGCACAGCAGTGTGAATGTACTTAATACTACTAAACCATGTACTGAAAAAATGGTCAAAGTGGTAAATACTGTTACCACAATTAAAAAGTAAAAGAAAAAATAAACGTTAAATTGTGTGGGGTGGCAGAGATTGCTGGGTTATCCCCAATATTCGTTCTCCCCTTTTGCTATAGAAATAGGAATTTTAGCTGAGTACCTGGCTGCCTCTATTAAAGCCTACATTTCCCAGCATCCTTTGCAGGTAGGTGGCCATGTGACTAAGTTTGGCCAATGGATATAAGTGGGAAGGTCTGTGAAAGCTTCTAGAACCTTCCTTAAGAGACAGGTTTCCTCCATAGGCTGCCAAAAGCATGGATGCTGTTACCTTGGAATCATGAAGTTGGGGTCACCCCTGGCAGAGCAGTAAGATGTGAGGCCCTAAAATTGAAACACAGTATTAGCCCTGAATTACCTGCTGGGGCTAATGCGTGAAAGAGAAACCAACTTCTGTCTCCTTCAAGCCACACTGTTCTTGTTTTTCTGTCATTTGTACCCAAACATAATCCTAATGAACACAGAGGGGTGGAATGAATGACGGTCCTTTCCAGGAACAGAAAGGACCAGGAGGGTTGGGACATTCAAGGAAGGCTGTATGGGTAAAGTCAACCCTGAGCTGCAAGGCAAATGAGGCATGGTCCTCGTCCCCAGGGGCTCCTGGGAGAAACGTTTATACACATGTCTGCAGCCAAGGCCATCGCAGTCAGCTGCTGTTTGGGAGCATTTGTCATACAGCAGGCTGATTGCATGGCTCATATTTAATCTTCACAACCACACTAGTAGGTAGCTGCTATTATTATGATCCCTGTTTTTCAGGGGCAAGCTGAGGCTTACGGGGGTTAAGCAACTCACCAAGGTCATAGAAAACAGTGGCAGGGCAGGGGTGGCGACCCAGGTGAGGTAAGCCAGAGCCCACACCCTTAACCGTGTCCCTAGCAGGGCGTTAAGGGACTCAACAGGGGTGTTCATGCTAATGTGTAGGGTTCTGGAAAGCTCTCTGCAGGAGGTGACATTTGCTTTGAGCCTTGATGAAGGCTTGGTAGGGAGGGGCATTCCAGACAGGGGACACGGTGGAGACAAATGGCGTAAGAGGCTCATCCTGGGATGTGGTGTGACCAGGCCGGCAGGACCGAGGGCCCCTCCTCCTCTCAGAGGCCCTGGGCCTCGC